CTTTTCCTGACTTTCTCTATTAAGTTGTTCTTTCTACATTAAGTAAAAAAACACACTCATACATAGAATATGAGTGTTTCTTTTTTACTTAATACTACAGAAAGAACGGCTTACTAGAGAAAATCAGGGAAAGGAGGCTTTCCCCTTTTAAATCATAGTTTTCTACAAATTTGCCCTCATCTATTTTTCCTTTCATTTCTTGAAGTATGTTGTCTATTTCTCAAATATCTTTTAAACATCATTCAACAAAAAAGAAAAGAAAAAGAAGAGGGCTTTAGTCTTTTTATTTGGTTTTGTGTTTGTAGGTTAAATTTGCTATCCAATACATGAGAAGAGCTATTCTTAAAAAGGCAAAGTTTGATATTGTGGAGCTGAATACCATAAAAGTTGCAAAATCTTCTTTTGTTCCTGTTCTTTTTGGTCATGCTGGAGATGATGATTTTATACAACCACATCATTCAGATCGTATTTTTGAGGCTTACATGGTAATTTACTATTTACTATTTGTACAAATTCTTGATTTTATTTTTTGTTTAATACTTTTATGTTGACAGGGAGACAAGAATATTATAAAATTTGAGGGTGACCATAATTCGCCACGTCCTCAATTTTATTTTGATTCTATAAATATCTTTTTCCACAATGTCTTGCAACCTCCAGAAGATGATGTTAAAGGAAACTTCTTTGATACACCTCTCGATTACCTTGGCAAGGTATATTACACACACACACACACACTCAATATAATTTCCAGATTAAGGGTTTGTTTGGTTGAATGGAATGGAATAGAAAAGGAATGGAATGGAATGAGTCGTTACAATCCATGGTCATGTTTGTTGGCATGTAATTGTAGAAAGAAATGAAATTAATTTTCATTTTGATGGAATGAACTATTCCATTCCTTCCCCAATTCCATCATAACAAATGTTTGTAATAATTTCTCTCTGCATTCAGGAATTCCATGGAGTTGGATATGAAAACGATTTTCATGTTACACCTCAAGGCATGCCATTTTTAATGTGATTTAAATTGGTTTGATTTCAATTTGTCTGAATGGTTTTTGACATGATACTTTTTGTCTTATAAATTCGTGTTCAGCATCAAGTAGTACAGAGGATGCCATTAATCAACTCCGTTCCAAAAGGCCAATGAGTAGGACTGAGGTCAGTATTTGGTTTTCTTTTTCTGTCGTTTTGTTTAGTGTTAAATGCAAGAAATAGCAATGTACTTTCATTGATTTGTTTATTATTTTGTACATTGAAAAATCTACAAATAAATGAAAACACATTGCTATTTCTTGCATTTAGTTCTTTTGGCAAAGACTTTTTTTGACTTTATAAAAAAGAAAAAAAAAAAACTTTCAGGTTCCTTCAGATATGCCATTAACAGATATTCCATGCAGTTCTGAGGTATTTTCCTTTCTTTTTCTCTTTTTCTCTCTTGTCCTTCAGTTGAATCATCTTCATTACTCCCTCCATACCAATAATCAACTCATATGGAATCACTAAAATGAATTGGAATCCAAATGGATGGAATTGGAATTTAAGTACTCTTGCACATTCCATTATTCTGATGGAATCGTGAATCTGAAAGATTTTCATGGAACTGAATTCCGTTCATTGACAACCAAATACTCAATGGAATGGAATCTTGAATCCCAATTCTGGCCTTATTTTGCAATTCGTTTAGCCATTTTTTTTTTATATAATTTAGAGCAGAAAATGTTGACAAATCACCAAAGATGATCGAATTATTGGTTCAGGAAGAAGGAAGTACAACAGAACCTATTCCATCATCATCATCTTCTAAAATGATTGACTTTGACTTTTCTAATGGTCATGGACCCTCAATACTAGAAGATCATGAGTATGTTGAATACCCACTTCAACACATAGAAGGTCTCCCATGCAATGCCGAGGAAGAAGAAAGGGTAACCTTTTTATTTATACCTAAAATACCCCTACTCATCATCATTATTATTATTATTATTATTAGTTGTTTTTCTAAATACATGATCTGATGATTGTTTTAGATGCTGATGGAAGCTGTACTCCTGTCTTTAAAAGATTTAGAGGTGAAACAACCAGAAACAGAATCCACTGATACAAATCCAACAACAACAACAAATCATTCTACACCAATAAAAGCGGACCCCACAAGTGTTTCGACAGCTAGCAGCAGTGATTCACAGTCAAGATTCATGTCTCCATGCAACAGCACATCATCATCGAATATGACACCAACAGTAACACCATCAGTGGGCCCCACCTTGGATGCTGACATGGCGGATCGGACGAAAGCCACGGTAACCGTGGAAAGAACCCCGTCTGGTAATATAATGGACGGCTTGTTACGGCGTTGGGATCTTAATTTCTTCAAGAATAGATGATGATGATGATGATGATGATTTTGGGATCTTTTGGTTATATAGCAAGTGTTTTGTGTTTGATGATTTTATAATTTTTTTTTTTTTTTTTTTTTTTTGGGTTTTGGTTTTGGAGGTGGTGTGGTGATTGATTGATTTGATATTAAGATTGTGTGGGGAAAAGGGGGATGAAAATGGAAATGGAAATGGACATGGGATAGAATTGTGCAGAAAAGAAGTGTAAGGGAGATTTGTATAATTTGTTGTATATAAAGGTTTAATCCTGGATGTGTTATGTCTTGACATGTATGTACAAAGTTTTTGGGTTTTGTTTCACCCAAAAGAGATGTCTGCAAAACATCATGTGAATCTTGACAAGACAAAAATGCAGGTCTTGTAGCAAATACAACCAAAATAGTATTCATGTTCTTTTTGCCATTTAGGCATTGTTTAGGGTACACTTTTTCTAATAATTTCAGGTACCATTTTAATAATTGATATCTTATTATTCATTATTTGGTATATTCTTGATAATTTTTGGAACCATATGTGTAAGAAGAAGATACTTGCACAAAAAACCAAACCCCACCCCTCCAGCTCAAGATTCTTGTAGACGTATTTTTTCTATATATAAATAAGATAATACCCAGACTAATCGGTTTGACTTAAATCAAGAACCAGAAAGACATAACACGTATTTGTTTTGAGAATCTTCAATGTCCAACTCATACTTCAACCAAGACACAACCAATGCATAATTCAAATCCACTTATGAATGAAATTTTACATGAATTTCATACATGCGTCTTGACACATTCAAAATGTAATTTGAGATGAAAATTGTGGATTCTAGATCATTGTTTTTTCTCTTAGTCATATTGAAGATTATTGGCATTAGATTCGATCGAATTTATGCAACAAGCTATTAGCACATCCTGCAGAGTACATAGTGAGTTATGGTGATTAGTTTAACACGATGTGTCACTCCTTGAATTTCTCTGGAGTTCTGCTACATCTGAATATTGGTTGATTATGTGAGACACTACTACTCTCTTTGCTAACATATATTGTGTTATCGTTCATTATCTGAACAAAGAAGGTTCTACAATGTGGTTCTCACTTTGAAATGACATGAAAGACATACCAAATCATGCATATGTTGTATTTGTTCATGTTCACGGTAACCATTATGTGATAGTTGATTTACAAGAAACGTATCCAATGCTTATTGTTTTGTCATATTTACGTAAGTACGGATCAGAACGTTCTACATGATGGAAACCTTCGACTTAATGTTTATGTTTCACATAATACACATAATGTACCATGCAATTTTAATACTCAAACGGTTAGTATATCTGATGATTAATAAAGACAAACTTTGCTTTAATAATAATAATAATAATAATAATAATAATAATGAATAAATCAAATAATATTAGTAAAATAAAATAAAATATTAGTATTATTTATAATATCTTTCTAATAATAATAATAATTTTCTAATACTAATAAAACTTAAATAAAAAAAGAAAGAATTCTAAATCAAGGAGTTCAAAAAGTAATCAAAAGAAATATAAGGCAATAAAATGAGGATGTGTTAATTGGACACATGTAGCTTTTAAAAGCATGTTCATTCTTCATTTGTAATCAATGTAAAAGTTTGATGATATTTACTTATGGTGGGTTAATTACTTGTTTATGCAATATTTATTGTTATTTTTTTTTATACAATAATATTTGCATACAAAATATTTAATAATGTTTTAAAGTAGGACCAAATCATACAACTAGCTAACATAAGATTGTTAAGTTAAATTTCTAAACTTTGTATTTTAATAAAATATTATTTTTAAATATTTTGAACACTATCGCACATCAGCTCCTTAGATCATGTTTGTCATGAAGCCTCTTCATGGCTAATATAGCAGTGTGGTGGTGATGCGAACAACCTCTTTCGGTGTTGTCTTCTCTCCTTGAGGTTGAGGATTCAAGTCCTGTCGTGGACATAGGTGGATTTAAGGAGTATGTTAGATTTGCCGTTTAAAAAAAAAAAAAAAAAAAAGAATGTGGTGGTGATGTGAACATCACCCCAGCTTAATGTGGACCATTTACATCTTGTTGAAATGTGATTTGCACCACATTAGACCACACCTAATCCCTTTTTTCTCTCTTCCTACTTCTTAATTATTTAAAAAATATTTTTATTAAAAAAAAAAAAAAAGGATATAATGACATAGAGTGGTGATACAATAATGTGTTTTAAATATGATGATGATATTGTAATAACACATTAGACCACACCTAGCCTTAGGTTAAAAACTAACACCAAATCATACATTTAACTGTTTCAGTTAATTGGTTGCAACATTTGGTCCTATTTTAAAAACTTTTTTGTATATTTTACATCAACAATTAACATTCATAAATTGGAAAAAAGTTGGATAAATAAGTAGTACTTAACCCTAAACTTATTTCTATTTGTTGCTAATTTGATCAACATCCACATATATTAGCAACTCATTGAAAAGTCAAAGTGTCAAAAAATATACAGCAACAAGCCAACAATATGATCCTTGTGCACGAAAAGAAATACAAATGTTATATCAAAATATAGAATTACATCAATCAAAGATCATGTTTTCATAGCGGGTCTCACCAACCCAAGACCCGACCCACTTCCCAAATGCTTAAAATCTTTAGCGTCAAGATTATCCCCATGACCCGCAAACCCGGTCCCACCTTTCTCCAAATAAATCAAATTCCTCTCTTTGCAGCCCTTATTACACACCAAACACACCTTATCAACCGCCATAAACTTCTCTGCACACTTCTTACAAAAAACATGTCCACAAGAACTTAAAGCCACAAGCCCTAAAGTATTAGTCAATGTCACCTTACAACTAGGGCACACGTAAGTTTTATCCAAGGGCGAATTCGTCTTTTCCTCATTTGTCTCTTCGGTGAAGCGAATAGAGAAAAGGGATTTCATTTTAAGCTTCTCGTTGCCTTCCGGGCAGGTCGTGGCGGTGGAAGGGGCGGTGATTTTGACCGGAGCTTCTGGGGTGGCGGAGGGTAGCCAAAATGCTTTCATGGTTCTAAGGGCTTCTGCTTCATATGATGTGGTTTTCACACTGTTTGCACCATGGAAATTGTTTTGATCGCGGTTCAAGTTTTTATCAGTGTATTGTGGGATCGCACCGTGGTTTTGTTGATCGAAGGCGTCGAGTTCCCGGGCTTTTTGTAGGGCTATTTTTTCGGTTTCTTCGTCTTTTTGTTGTTTTTGTTGGGTAGTATGGGCAGCTAGCTTCCTGTCGCAAACATAACAGGTTGTACTGTGTTTAGCATACACTGACACTAAGATTAGGATCCTTGTCAATGGGACAAAAACTGCAGTTTTTATCCCACCTGACTGATGTCCGTATAAAAGCTGCAACTTTTTGTCCCACCCAAAAAGTTGGGACTGGATGGGACAAAAAACTACGATTTTTTGTCCCATCCAAAGAAAGCAGGGATTGCACCTCATGTTAATGGGCAAGGACTATCTCATTGGGGTTATCATTATTCTTGGTGAAATCAATTAGATAAAAAGAAGGAATATGTAAACAGCAACAAATATATCCTCTTTCATGAATACTCAGTAATAAATAATCTACTTACATAATACCTACCTTTGCACTGAGCATCCATTAACATTAGAGCTTCATCTTCTTCCAGAGACCAGAAATAAGAACAAATTTCCATAACCAATATTACTAGACACCTATAATGAACTACATACATGAACAACCATCGGGTTATGCATTGATGGAGCTTCCCACTCAAATCACAGGTCAGACGTAATGCCTAGTGTATTTTGGATCTCCTAATGAGATTGGAGAGCAATGAGTTCAGGTATAGACTAAGTCAACTACTATTCCAATCCCGATCCTCTAATCCAAGCAAGTATATATAGAATTAAAGAAGATAGGGTAAATTGAGTATATTACCTTTGGATATCTTTCTTTTGGGACAATAAGCACTCGAGGATGCACTCTTTACAGAAGACGTGGCCTTTTTGACAGCACAAGGGATCGATGAAGGGCTTCAAGCAGAGAGAGCAAGCATCGAAGGGTTTGATGGAATCTTTACCAAGCCTCTCCTTTTGAGTACCGTAACCTAGCTTCCTCTTCTCGTCATACGTGAAGAACGCTAGATCGTTGTTGTTCTTGGAATGTCTCTGAGGCATGTTTTCAGATCAATTCAGGAGGGATTAAATTTGGATTTGGATTTGGAGTTGAATTTGAATTCGGATTTCAAGAGGAAGTAACTGAGATCGACTGTCGACTTGGAAACCCTAGAATTTTAACGAGCCTCCTTTGAGGTTGTCTTTGTGTAACATAACATCCCATCTCCTATTTATATCCCGTAGAGTAGATAACTACCGTCTTGACCGTTGTTTGTTTTAACGGAAACTATATAATATAAAATAATTGAATTTTTGAAGACTTTTTTTTTTTAACACAAAATCTAATCTAATTCTAAGCTACTTTTAAACCCATCTATGTTTGATAGACTTAAGTCCCTCAATTAGAAAATACAATTAGAAAATACAACACTTGACACTGCTAGAAGCTAGAAGCTCTTTGGTAGAGAAAATTTTTCTAACAAAATAATCTCACCAAGCTTTCACAAATATCATTAAATTCCCGAAACACATTTACCGAAAAAAGCAATGAAGCAAGGAAACATATTATTTTACAATTAAATAAGATCATTCCTATTTTATAAGAAATTCTAAAATTTTTATTCTAATAAACAAAGTATTTTTTTATGTCAAGTGTCATATTTATAAACCAAAACCAAGAGTCACTCATGTATCATTTTCTCATGCTTTTACAATTCTTTTTTCCGCCCAAGTTGAATTGAATGTTATACATCATTTACATCAACAACTTGAAAACGAGAAATCAGTATCATAAAGTTAATCCATTCCAAATTTATTAGTCAATTTCTCTATTTAGTTGATTTGTTGAAGGTGATCCCACAGTTTTTAAGCCTAATTGTTTAATATATATAAACCAAGAGTCAGTCATGTATCATTTTCTCATGTATCTGCAATTCCTTTTTCTGCCCAAGTTGAATTGAATGTTATACACTATTTAGATCAACAACTTGGAAACGAGAAATCAGCAGGTGTTCATCGAAAATCCTGGCTAGATTAGCATCATGAAGTTAATCCATTCCAAATTTATTGGTCAATTTTTCTATTTAGTTGATTTGTTGAAGGTAATCCCACAGTTCTTAAGCTTAATTGTTTAATTAATAAGTATATCATCGGATCTCCTTTCTCTTCTCCAATCCTCTATTTGGCATCATGTATGATTCTATTCGGTCTTTCAAGTGCAATGTTTTGCTCAATATTTTGTTTGTTGTTTTTTATTTTTGTTAGGATTCGACTTATCAGATGAAAGAATCAATCCATGTAGGTTTTGTTACCTTTCTTGATCTCCTCTTGGATTATCCTTCGATTTACTCGACGAAACACCCAATCGATACAAGTTTCCAACATATTTTTGTTTTGTAACAATATTTCTTTGAATTACTTGGTGTTTTTAAAGGGGTTGAGAATTGCTTCAACAATTACATAATATTTTTCTTATAACTTATTACAAGATTGTTGACATACATATGACATCTTTCATGTCTCCACTTAGTCTCGTCTTTGTTTCACTTTCACGTATGATGAGTTAAATATACATGTAACCATAAGAATAACAGCAGTAAAAAATATAATTGGAGAAATTGGTGAATTGTGTTTCCAGTAGTTTACTGAAGTGCACACGCTACTTGTGGAAGCAAATCGATCCCCAGATTGTCGTCCCCTGTCACAAAAACAATACAATTATGTTTGTCTGTCTGTCTTTATTAACATATTAACAGTAACAGTAACAGCAACAAAGCAATAAAGATAACAGAATAGATACCTAGCGAAATCATATTATATGAAAAAAGAACGTGGTACAAATACAATATAATTAGGATGCAATATGCATACCTGAATACGTCTCGAATTGAGTTCCATATAGATGTGCCAAGCTTTTTGCTTGAAGTGAAATCTTGTTTATATTTCTCAAAGGTATCATCATCCTTTCTTCCTAACAAAAATACAAATATAAGATAATAAGATAATGATTTGTGTTTGCCAACTATCTGTCTGAATATATAGATTTATAGTTTCATAATTTTGTAATTAATTTTTATTTTACGGATCAGACAACTAAAAAACGTATTTTATTTTTATACCGTTAACTGTGTGATGCCGAACTGCTGCCAGCTTTTCAACCAATAGGCGCTCCTCGTTGCTGACATGGCAAGGTAATGAATGACATGAGATTGATTACTTAGTTAGTAATTTAAAATTATTGCTGACATGGCAAGGTAATGACCTGATATATTTAGGGATGTGGACATTCACAATGAAGTGATGACTCCCTTTAACAGAAGGCTTATTAATATCTGGAACTCCCATCTTTGACAGTTTTATGCTTTCCCTATGTTGAATTCCAGAAGGAACATGAAGATCTTTTACACCATCAACAGTTTCAACCTAAATTATATCAACAAGTAACTCAGAACCACAAATTCAAAGCAAAATAATATCAGCATTGTTGACTAATTTTAGATAAGTTTTTATTTTACCTTAATCACAGTACCTAATATTGCCTGTGTATAATCGATATTAATCTCTGAGTAAAGATTAAGACCTTCACGTCTAATTCCATTTTTTTGTTTAACATGAAAGACTAAATACAAATCACCAACTCTATTCCTGCATTCAAGATCAAGAGTATCACTATCTTGTTATGTATTTTGCCCTTATCTGTTATAGTTTATAGTTGTTTGCCTATTTATGCTAGCAGCATACCTTGTTTTGTCAATATTGCCCTCTCCTTGTATTCCCATGGTGTCTTCATCATTGACACCAGGTGGAATCACCACTTTCACAGTTCTAGTCTTTTGTACATTACCTTCACCTCTACAATATTGACACTTTTCAGTTATGATCTTCCCATCACCACCACATTTTGAGCAACTAGACACCTGGAATTGAAAACAAGTAAGTGGCTAAAAACCAAATTGAAAAAAATGGAGAAAGTTAAGACTTAAGAGGTTTACCTGAGACATAACCCCAAATGGTGTTTCCTGAGTTTGCATTACTGCTCCTCTTCCTCCACATTGGTTACATGATTTTATACAGTTTCTTGATTTAGCTCCTGTTCCACCACAATTATCACATGTCTCAAAGCAAGAAACTTCAATGTCACGTTTTGCTCCAAAGATGGACTCTTCAAAGCTCAAAAAGACATCATGTCTGGACAATAATCAATGAATTATATAACTCCATTAATTGCAATTTGGCAAAGAGAAAAAGCAAACAAGATGATTACCGAATGTTGAGAGAGTGGGTGCCTTGGCTTCTGAAATTGAAATTATTGTCTCCTGATTCATTCATGCCATTCCCGCCAAAAAACCCATTTGAATCCCCAAAGAAGGTGCCAAACGCTTCAAATGGATCCACCTAAAACAAAGAATTACCTTTAAAGGAAGATATTACAGTGAAGTGATATTGTTGTTGTTGTTTTAAAGTGAGTGATACAATCTTACCTCCTGGAAACCAGTACCTGATCCATCATAATTCCCTTGTAAACCTGCCTCCCCAAATTGATCATATAATGATCTTTTCTCTTCATCTGATAAGACCTATGTAACACAAACTGGTTTAGCTTATATGAATACAAAATGAGGAAATATAATCCAAAAAAGCTTTTTGGGAGTCGTATAAGATATACCTCATATGCAGCACTTATTTCTTTGAACTTCTCTTCTGCTCCATCAGCCTTGTTCATATCTGGATGATACTGTTGCAAATGAGGCACATAATGATGTTAGCACAAGATTGAATACCATAGATATAGATGTCTTGTGGTGGAAGTCGTAACTCATGTTAAACTCAACACAAATGTCAATGCAGATTTTGAAAATGTTCTATTATCTTAATTAGGGAAAAAAAAAGGTTTGAAAAGTAACTAACCTTGCGAGCTAGTGCTCGATAGGAGCTCTTGATCTCCTGCAAGGTAGCATTTTTACGAACTTTAAGAACTTTATAGTAGTCAGGAGTAGTAGTCTTACTACTTCTACCGGTGGAGGCAGCGGCGTAAATTATTCGACGACGACAAGATGATAATCCAATGGTGTTTCTGAGAAATGGGAATGCGGATTTTGGTGAAAATTTGAGGGCAACCACGGAGGCAGCGGCGATGGTGGTGGTAGGAAAGATAGATAGGCGTAAGCTGCTACAAGCGATGCAAGAGTAGCAACCAACCATGGCCGGCGGGTTTCCCGTACGAAGAAACCGGATATGGGTCAGGGTTTTTCGGGGGAAGGGGGGTTTAGAAGGGAGGCAGAGATGGGGAGCGGGCCGGTGAGGCCGGTGATATTGTCCCGTTCCGGTCTTTTTTATCCGGTTCTAAACTTTTTAGAAAAAAATATTCTTTTTTACGAGAATAAACAATTTAAAAAAGATTTTTTTAGGGTTTATATTTGATTCATATTAGTTAATCCAAAATTCCAAACAAATTATTAATTTCTTTTATAAATAAATAATAACTACAATCTTGTGATCCGATCCTCCCTCGACATTATTGAAAAACTAGCCAAAAATGATCGAGATTGATTTATCTAAATGGGATGATTATAACAATTATGACATATATGATTTATAACACACGTTTAATTCTTATAATGTATCAAAATGTAACACTATTATCAAACAACATGACATTTATATTTTCTATCGAATTTTATCTTTTGATATTTTATAAGAGATCGATCCATTGATATGAACCACTCATGTCATCAACCATAATCGTCATATCACTTTTCTGAATATAGTTGCATAATAGGTTGTGCTTTATGTATTTTACCGTTTACCACATTTTTTTTCTAGATTTTCTAAAATAATTAATATAACAATTATTTTGAAAATATTAACATGCTTGGTTATGTAACAAGTTAGTTCTCTTGTGTAAATGTAGGACCAAAATACAACATTATACTTGAAAATCATTAAACTCTTCGTCTATTTTAAAGTTTACTGAAATTCAATAGTAATGACATAATTTTCTTTCATTTTATTCATTAAACATCTAATTTGATGTCTTCACACAAAAGTAATACTTTTTTTTTTTTTAATTTTTTGAATATTGTTTGAATAGATGAACTTTAAAAAATATTTTAAAAAATAGCAATATGTTTTACAAAAATAACAGCAAATTTGTAAAAAAGTTAGTACTTAATGAAAAAACACACACACACACATTCTTTCTCTAATTTTCTATATTCATTCGTCTAGTTTG